AGGTTTTCCTACCTCCGAAGGCAAGATCAAGCCCCTAGCTCTTACTTTGGAGTTTGATGGGAGTACACATCTCGCAGCATAGTCTGACCTTGTGCCCACATCAGCCCTTCCACAGCTAGGACCTGCGCAAAAGCTAAATTGTCTCTAAAGTCAGACTCTGTTCCTTCTATTCACATCAAGTAATATTTGACTGTGATTAAGAGTGCCAGACATGCTCTGCCACACATAAACTTACGCAAAAATAGGAAGTATGCCAAAACCATTAGCCTTTCCTTGTCATTCAGCCTTATTACCAGTCTCTCCACTCTTCTATCCCAAACTATTTGAGGTCACCAGTGCCTCAGTCTGTAGCATTCAAGCAGACTGCTCTGCCTGTTCATTACATGCTGTGGAGTCAGGGTTGAAACGGAGGATGCCAATTCATGCAAGTTACGCACATACACAGCTCCGTGAAGCACTGAAACAACTGAAATATTTAAATGTGTTTCCACTTCTATCACAAATCTAAGACTTATAAACTTTGTATAAAATATTAGCACTCTCACAATAGTTATCTGTGAAAATAAGTGATACTAGACATTTTGTAATTCTGTGAAATACAGGTTTCTTTCTCCCAAAGGTATTACCCAATACTTTTCTTTGGGGAAACTATTTGGAGATGTTAAAAAAAAAGGGGGGGGGAGGGGGATGTAAATAACATGCTACACATCAGTGTGGCAAACCAACAAGACCACAGAGTCACAAAATGCAATTTAAATGCTAATAAAAGTTAGGAAGCTTGCGTATAAGCTTTAGTTCTGCCTCTAGAGTACAGCATGATGCAAACTTCCAGTCGAGCCAGAAGAGACCAGAAAGACCAGACAGAGGATCTATTCACTAAAAGGAGAATAATTTCCTTCTATGTAAATTTCTAATGCATTGGAAGGATAGGAAAGTAAGGAGCAGACAGACAAAAAATAGGGAGAGCTGCATCTTCCCTTAAATGTATAGCAGTCATTTACTTACAGATAACTGGAATATCATCAGTGACGCAGATTTCTAACCGTGACCTGGATAACCATGAAAACAGCTGTGTGTCAGTCCTCCTTACCCACTAACTCCTCTTCAGAGCTGGGCTAAGATTTCTCAGGCTCACCTCACTAAACAGCCCAAGGCATCTGTGGGAACAGGGACAGGACATAGCCTACTGACAAGGAGCACGGTACTTTTCAGAGGAAGACTGGACATTAACACTCAGGGTAAGAACCCCATCCACAGTTTGGCAAAAGAAGATAAGCATATTCAAGAGATTCGGTGTAGGATGGGTCATGCTGTTTGTTACTTCCATTTCACAATAGCCATTGAGTATACGGAGGCAGCTGCAGGGCTCTTCTTGGTTCAAACCCAGGACACGATGCCCTAACCGAGCTTCAAGACCACTGCCTGGGTGGCTTGTTGATGTACACCAATGCTCCAGTCTTTCTCTAATCCCTGTGTTGAAGACTGGAAAAGTCAGTGCAAAACACAGCTTTGACAACTTTTAACCCAATCTGGGTGTCTCCTTAGATCAGGGAGGCCACAAGTGTTTCTTTTCTTGCCATCCAACTATTGCAAAACCAATCAAGAAGGCCACAGAGGGATTTCGAACTTTTCTTATCAATATGTTCCCTTTCAAAACCAGACTATTTCTCTTATAATAATATAATTTTGAGGAAAACATCACACTGTATCCAATGACTTTATCAAATCAGCTAGGTTATTTTGGGGGTAATCAAGTAGCATCTAGGAGTCTCTCACCTATACATAAAAATATAGATAAGTTATTTGATTCCAGCAAAGAAAAAGAATTACTTTCCGAAAATCTGTCCTCTCCACTCATTTTTCTCTCTTTTCTATCCTACTTATTAATAATGTCATTTCAGGCCTAGCTTATTATTTGTAGCAGGGTACCAGTCAGACACTACAGTCAAAAAACAAAGTCCCTTTGCAATAGGCACTGTCACAAATATAAACAGCTGATGTCTTTTCCAACTAACTTACAAACTTTAAGTATAAAACACTCTAGATAAGATGGACAGAGTGAGCAGAGGGTGATAATATGGTTAATATAACAAGCAATGGTCACAACTGAATTTTGTTCTGTATGGAAAGAATGTATTCAAGGACGTTAATTAATGCCTTATGGTCTTTGCTAGTCCTATCTTTCTAATTAATAACCAAAGTTACATTTCCAAAGGACACCATACTCTAAACATGCACTTTCTCAACTCTATGCTTCTGTATTGGATCACCCTGCAGCAAGTAATTCTCAAAAGCACTTCGGAAATGTGTTCTTTAACAGGTGCTTGCTAGTAGTCACCATAAGGAAACTAAAAACGATTTGCTTTGGAGAAGGAAACGTCTGCCTCCTTTTCCAAAGGAAGCCTTTTCCTCTAGTTTGTGTTGGTACCTGTTAATTAGAAAAATCAAAACAACTATTTGAAATGCCATAATCACTTAAAATTACCTGAGAGAAAGTTAGTTTGTATAACAGGGATCAATCCTGCTTTTTAATATTGAAAAGAAAAAAAAAAATCCAAACCACACAAAACCCAAAATACCTTCTATGACAAGTTATTATGCCCACTCAAAAATTAAGACTTACCAAGCATCATACAAAGTTAAATACCATTGAGTTAAAGCCTTTTCATTTCTCTTATGGCCTTTTTCTTCTCATATTTCTTCCCAACTAGTAATTTCTAAATACTCATACTTTCTTTCTTTGTCAGCTTGGATATTTCTGCTTTTCCCACTCTGAAGGGCAACTCTCGGACAAATTCATTGCTAAACTCAACCATCAGTTGAAATGCCAAAGAATAGATTGTTTTGCTGCTTGTTGTGGCCTTTTATTTCCTCTTATTTCATTAGAAATACTTAATTAATGCTAATTAAGTACTTTGAAGCTTGTGTGAAAGTTTTTATAAACTGCACATTTCTGCTAATACTTCAACGAGAGAAAAATACAATGACAAAATCACCAGACAGCACACTCACAAGTAAACTGAAAAAGGAAAAAAATCAAGTATTTTTTACCCTAATTGAGAACATGGGCACAGCTGAAGACTGAAGCAGTTTATATCTTTATTTGCAGCAGTCACATCTTTAAGCAGCTCTGCCTCTGCTTTGAATTTTGCTGTTGCTTTAGAGCCTGAACTTTAAACACATCTGACTCCACATAAGTGGAAAGCAGCTCTACCGGTGTTGCACATTTACCTTGGTATTATTATTGTAATCTTTAACATACCTCTGTGCTCGGGTCCAGCCAGGCTATCTTAAATCCAGCACTGTATTAAAGAGGAGCTAAAATGGGTTTCTATCCTACTTCAGTACCTTTCAACTATTAGATTAGCCCTTTAGTGGATAATCAGGTAAATGCCTGAAACTAAAATAGTAAATACAAGGCCATAAACTAAAGCAACCCTGAGGCTACTTTAAATAGCTGTGATCTCCGAGAAGGAACTGCTCTATCTCAGCTGCCTACAAATTAGCACAAAGGAGAAAGAATTTGCCCTAATGATTTCTTCACTTCACCTGGTTGCTGTATATAAAACTCATCATCCAGGCTTGAGCCAATCTTAAGGCTAAATTTTACAGCCATCGTGGACCAAAGCAGACCTTCCTTATTAGGTGGTCTCCACTATATATTTCATCAGATGATGAGTACGTTATCTAACATGCAAGAAGTAATTTATATTAAATAAAGCTACTATATGCACTTTTAAAGTTCACTTCATTCTGAGTATCTCTTCCCCCTCCTGAACTGTTCAGTAATTTTAAGTGAACAAATCCTTAAAGACATCAATGAAAGTATATATTACTAAGCAATCATTCTTTTGAAATAGGGATAAAGTGCTTGTGATGGAGAAAAATTCATTTTCAATCTAATTTATATACCTTAAGCATAGGTTTGAAGGATGCTGACCCTAAAAAAATTAGTCTACAAACTTCAGTCTGTGAATAATGATGCAAACCCAGTAAAGCTAGTTAATTGTTTTACACTCCATGCAGCATCAAGAATACAAAGGAGGTCCATCACATACTTTACCAGATCCTATGTTACAGAGTCCTCAAGTGTACCACATTAGACAGAACTTTGGTACAATTTAAATTTTAATTCTACTTAAATAGAATTTTAATGCAAGTTGGGAAGTGAATGAGCAACCTTATCTAAGTGCATTTGACTGCTACATGTAGACGTGTGTCATACACTTCCTATTATGTGAAGAACAGAAATTCTCCACAAGAACTCAAAGTTTTTCATAATATTCTGTGGCTCATAAACACATTTTGACACTTTCCATTGCTGTAATGTTTAGCATTCGTCTTTGAAATATTTATTGATGGTAAAAAAATCTAATGTATTTCCTCTTCAACTCATCTTTTGCCACAGTAATTACATTTTAGCAATGGTTTCATGAAACTAAAGATACTGCTGTTCTTATTAATCCCTATCTTTCCTTACAAATAATCTCAATTATATTTCCATTTCTTTTTTAGTTAATACCAGTTGCCCATATTTATCTTTAACGTGAACAGGATATATAGGCATACAACACAGAAAACCAGATTACTTCATACTACTACACAACTGCTTAAAAATGTATTTACATGTCAGCAAAATTACTGCTTTTTCATAAAAAGAGAAAATTTGATTAAATCTATTGGGAGGACGTCCTATGGCTTGTTGGGAACTTCTATATTCTGTATGGTTTACACCTGTTTTTCCTATATATGGAGAATTTACATGACTGTATTCTCCCTTCCCTGTGTTTAAATAACTTTATATCTCACTCCTAACAGAAGTAGCCATTTCTTTCAAGAAGGCTGTTGAAGCACTATTACTATAAAGACATTCATCACCTCTTTTCCATTGAAAAAAAAATCATGTTAATGCTTGATTATGCAAGTTTAGTTTTGTAAAGTACCAGAGCAAGTAAGCCTTGATAAATATAAAAAAAAAATAAATTGGGAGAACTGTCCATTACTGAAGGGCAGGTTTTATACTGCTGTGTCGGTATCCGGATCTTAAGTTCAGAAACCGCACTTGGAGTTGTGCTGTCTGCTCCAGAAGTACCTAACAGCATTATAATGTTTTCCCAAATTTGCTTTTTGGGAGCAATTTGGAAGGCAATTTTGTTATTTGATAAGATGTCCATCACTAAATTCGCCTAAGCACACATACAGGCACCCCTCCCAAACACACATATGCACACACACGCGCACACACATTGATTTTACAAAAGTCTCCTTTTCTTTAAGCAAGTAGTCACAACACTGAAAATATTCTCCTATGTGTTCAGTGATTATTCTTAAATGATTTGTCACGACTCTGCCACTCAAAGGAGATGGTTATTTCATTCTTCTGAGAAGCTAACTATGTTCAAAAGCAGCTAGATGAGGATGGTGGTGTGATATAAATTCCAATAGAAAAATGCATCGTCCATCCGTATAGCCGTCCATCCTGAGAAACTTCCATGGACAAATTCTTGCTGTTTTCCATTGGTCATGGGGTTCCCATCAATAAATAGAAGGTCAGTGCAACAATGAGGAGCAAGCAGAATGGAGAAGAGAAGGTCTGATAGGCAGCTGATGGCATGAAAATATCTTCATACTTGTAAATACTGACAACACGCTCTGATACGGGTGGTGAGTCTATATCATGACGAGTTATAGAACCTTTAACAGGTAAGGGCAGAAAGAAAGAACGTCAGATGCATTTTTTCTATAACTCTACCAAAGAAACAGGTAGGCAGCCAAGTAATTTTCAAACTTCCAGGAGCATGCAATATTACACTGTCAGTGAGTAGGGTCATTTCTCTGCTTTCGGAAATTAAACTTCTGAATAAAACAAATTAAATTCAAGGAAACAATAAACATCCTTCAAAGGAATTCAGAACTTCAAGTTACAAAGTTCTTCTAAATTTAGTTTTATGGAGTGGCAGTAATAACTATATAGGCAAGAAAACACAACATGTAGGACTCTGTTATTTATCTCGTCTTCCTTCTTATCTGTTTTTAAGCCTCACGCTGCCAGAATTTTAGTTCATTTGAAAAAAGGGTGTCTAGTAAGAATAATGTAATTGAAAGACATCTTTCCATTTTGGCAACCCAGTTCTGTCCATAACACAGAAATCAACGTACCCTGAATTGCTGGACCCCAAGCAAACAGATAGTACCAACTCAAGTGCAGATCTACGATGGTTTCCTCTCGGGGAACATATACAGGACGCTTGAATCGACATGTTACACGATTGTTTTCAAAAACCCCTTCTTCATCTCTAGCAGGATTTCTCTGGATTTCTTTAGCCCACTGACCAACATTATAGAAGTGCTGTATTCGGACTCTTCCATTATCATCATGAACACAAGCCATGACATCATCTCCTCCCTACATGGTAAAAACATATTGGTAGAAGGAAAACAGAAGTGTCACAAAGCATGTCCTCATTTATGTATATAATTTTAATTATTAAAAACTAATCAAGACCTGGGGTTCTCATTCCTTCTTTCTAAGTTATATATACACAACTATTTGTTTCCCTAACCACGTGTCTTCAATCAGATTGAAAGGCACAAAGTGGACAGTAATATTTACTTACCCTTACCATCTCTGAATTCTCTTTTGTATCTTTCTAAGAGTTATTTTACCTAACATATATAACATATTTGTAAGATATGATATCACCCTGACATCACAAAATTAATTGATCAGTGGAAGGCTGTTTTCTTTTTGTAATTTGTGAAGTTCTGGGATCCTGCTTCATAAAAACTGGCAGTCTTGAATCCTTGATGTGTACAAAATCCACTGCATCAAATCACGGACAGAAAAGCAATATAATTTAGTAAAATACAGATTAATCTACTAAATGTGGGTAAATAGTAGCATAAATTACAGTCTGTCTTTTCTAATCTCTTTCTGTGTTCACTTAAGGGAACATCACTTCTTATATCTCTTAAGAGAAAATGAAAAATGTTCAGCATGTAGTAACAGAATACAGAGATAATACATAAGATACAAGAAAAAAAGTAATCAATATGTGCTTCTTCACATAGCATAAACAGCCACCAAACATTGCAATCAAGCAAAGAAACAACAGACAGAAGAAAGTGTCAGACAATTGTTTGTAGTGGTCATTCACAGAAATATTAAACCAGTTGCTAGAACAGTTAGTCAAGGTCACTGCCAAAGTGGTAGAGCACTGTATCACTCAGGGATTAGCATTAATTTTAGGAGTACTATCTCACAGAAGTCTTCGTATCAAGAACCATTAAAAAACCAGTGCAAGTTAGAGGAATGGCATTTTACTGACCACCACTGCCACAGACATCAGTGCCGTATTAAATACAGGCGCTACTCCAATACTAATCTTTCTGATATGTCATGCTGATGATAGACATGATGCTTGCTAGCGTGATCATCTCTCAGTTCTTTGCTATAGGGAAAGGAGAGAAAAAGGGTGCATTTCAGCTCTTTGGGAATATTGCTATGTGGATTTGTAAAAGATGTGCCAAAAGTGAGGGAAACAGGGGACAACTAGGTACAACACATGCTTGAACAGTTTCTGCACCTCAGTGCTGCTGCAGGCAACCTTTCCAGTTTCTGTCTTAAGCCTATCCTTGCTCTCCATAACTTATTTTCCAAAGTTAATTTTTATAAATCTGAGCACAAATCCCTCATTCTTAAGTACAAAGAGGCAAAAAAAAAAGCTGTTTTCACATAGAAAAAATAAAAAGGAAAGAAAAAAAGCATTCTGAATCTCAATTAACAGAATGACTTTACAAAATCCTGCCTAGGCACAAAAGCCTGCAAGTGGAAAATCATAGTGTTATTTGAGACGAAGAAATAGGTCACAGGACTTAAAAAAAAAATCTATTGAGGACACAAAATAGGGTTTTTTCCTGAACTTCTGTAGCTATCCAGGCCACACCACTTTGATTAGGGCCTCCAAAGCACAGTCCACTTCTCATAGCTAAGCTGTTTTTACCCAGAGTCATTTTACCATTAGAGCCTGCGCATCCCAGGACACAAAAACATCCTGAAAGTTATGAAAAAGGATGAAGTCAGCAGAGGAACAAGAGAGGAAGACAGATGCTAGCTGGTTTAGTCCAGCTGACTGATGAGCATTAGATCATGTACGCAGCAAATTTGGAAGCAAACCCTTTTACTTTACACTATGTTCTTACCAGAAGCTGAGACTTGACATGCTGCTTGGTGTGCCTGGGACAAAAGGTAATACCTGCTTTCCAAGCGGCTGATGAGATGCAGGCGGTGGGATGCTGGGATCTACTGCAGGTGTATCAGTTACAAACTGGTAATATGATCTCTGCTAGCTTGGGCCCAAATACTTCAAGGTGCTGAGCTGCTTTGAAAACCCTGTGGAGTACTTGCATTTCCAGGCATCTAAACTCTTCCCAAAATTTGGCTGTAAAACTGTTCCTCAGAACATTAAAAACATGAACTGTTTCTTGTAACGTGAACTGTTCTTTATGACACAAAAGACTTCCATCTTTATTGTGTTTATTTACAGTGTCATATTAAAACATATATAGTAATGACTGAAAAGCACCTGCCCTCACATTTTCTTTCTATTTCTCATTTTGGGTCTGATAAAAACAGAAGTTAAGTCAGCACAAGTCTTCCCATTCATTTTTGTGGGTCCCAGCCCAGGACGTCTAAATCCTGTATTTTTTCAGACTACTGCCTACCACTGTACAAGCAACAGTCCTGTCCTCTGGCTAGTAATTTAGGACACAGCCTCAGTATTGTTTTATATACTCAGGAGTGTTTCTGTATAGGAACACCTACGTTATGAATTGCATTTTAATCTCGAACATTTTACCAAGAATCACAGACAAAACATCTTTGCATAAGTCATCTATTGCTCAGGGTTTTTAAAGTTCACACAGTACATGCTCCTGTTTTGCTCACTGAAACACAATGAAAAGTGAAGCTTTTGAATGAAAAAAATAAGTACAGGAATAAGCATAAAACCAAACCAAATAAAATCCAGGAGAGAGAGAAGAAATTTTAACAAGACTGCTTTCTAGAGTATGTATGTTTAAATTAGGAGGAGTCATTTTGTCACACATTTGTGGCTTCCCTGGAACAACACACAGATATGAAAGAAACAAAAAAATTTCCAAACTTTAACAGTGAAAGCCATATTTATATCACCGAAAGTCAGCTGATTTACTGAAGAACGAAATTATTTGCTATTTAGTTTCTGACGTGCTTTTTGTCCAAGTAGCACTGCCATAAAGCGCAACAGGACATTTCCACGTGAATTGGCTTATCCCTGAGGGCTTTTCTAATAAAAAGGCAAAAAGCTAACAACATTCAGAGCTGAACTGAAATACTGTTGTAATTCTCAGAGAAGAAGGGAAAGCACATGTTTGTTAGGAAGGATGAGGCAGTTTTCTGGGAGGCAGTAGGCCTGGCTTCTGCTCCTGAGGTGGCTACCAAATGGTGCTTTGTTTTCAGCAAGTCAGTTTTTCCTTATATGCTCTGTTTCAGACAGATCAAATATAAAATTCATATCCTAGCAAGTAAAAGTGTGCACACTGTCAACATGAAGAACTGTACATGTCTTACCATTTTCTTGTCTGAGGAAAACCCCACTGCCACCCAGCCATCAGTATCGGCACTCAGCTCAAATTCAACATCAGCTCCTATTCTACGGTAACTCAGAAAGTAGTCACAAGTCTCCGCATTGCATCCAGGTTTACCGTACCTAAACGGAATTGGAAATACATGTAACTTTTCCTTTCAATTTCTTGCTATGGAACTTAATTATGTTTCTGCAAGAAAAAAAAACTAAAAGAATGCATTTTGGTATAATGGCAGTAAAACATGTTACATTATACTATACACAAATGACCATTACCTAAGTGTTTGCAATTATTACTCTTTTATTGTAAGGATGTATAGTATTTAAACAGTACAGCAAGCAATTAATCACACACAGTATTACTTGTTGACCTTCCTAGCCCTGGTTTTGTAAGTGCTTCATGAAAATACAAGAAACATGAAATAACTGTAGGTCCCTAACTATGATATATATCCTTAAATAATCTAGTTTCCTCAAATGATATAATCCATAACTACAAAGTATGTTCTTAAATAATAAACATTTATTAAAATGAATATGGAACGTTAACCAACGTCTCCAATGCAATCAGTCAGCATTTGCAAACATAAAGGTATCTGCACTCTTTTCTCAGACTGACCTGAAGCATCCCTTGGTTTTTCCACAGTCATCCACTCTGATTTTTGCAAATGGATCCACAGGAGGAGCAGTAGGGAAATTTTTTAGGGAAAGGGTAACCTGTACAATCAGAATAAATCATAACTAAATAAAACAAGGAATAAAAAGCAAGAATTCTAAAGAGAAAGGGTTCCAACAGCATTTACTTTGCTGATAACTGAGCTGTTCAGATGAGGGGCTACTTTGTCACATACACAATCTCTTGCTCAGATGGTCCTGGATCCAGGTACCAAAGTAACACTGATAACAAAAATTTTCTCAGGTTTCCTACATTTGTCAAGAAGGGAGAAGGATGCCGGAGGATGGCTTTGCTACACTGAGGGCAAAAGTA